TCCATGGTTTAGCTACAATTTCATCAACTCAAAGTCACTTTCGTTTCACCTTTGCCCAGTGTCATCTCACCCCTCTCTCTAGGATTATTTTGGAGCAAATTTCAGATGTCATATAGTTTCATCAGGAACCATTTCAATATATGTCTCTAAATGATAATGACTCTGTTTAAAAATATAATCATAATACCATTATCACATCTAAAAAAAATTAGCAATTCAATAATAGATTCAAATTTTCCTGATCTCATAAAAGCATTTTTTAACATGCTTTGTGTGAGTCAAGATTCTAACTAGAGTCAGATAATAGACCCTTTATGAGAAAATAAATTATCCAACATGTTTACTATATTCACATACTAACCTTTCAAGACAGTAGAAAACCTATGAAAATACTGTAGAAGGGAAGCAATATTACTGTGTAGGAAATGAGAAAGCTGGTAATGGACCACATTTTATGTAGTGATAATTCTAGTTTATTAAGTAAACTTAAATTGTATCAAATAGATAAATAAACGTAAATAAAATACCAAGTTTATTCAAGATACCTATAGTGGAATTTCTACCAGATTATGAACTCTGAATATCAGGGCTCTGTTTAAATCATCTCTGTAATATTCTCAAAGATGAAGCTCATACACGAATATTTGACTTGAGGAACATGTATGTAGGTGGATATCTCACTTCTAAATACATCTTCCTGAGGAATGGTTTTGAGGTTCATAAAAGGATCTACTGCTGACTCTGAAGAATTAAATCCTGATTTTAGTACTTTACCTATTTCCTCCTTTGTTTGCATACTAGAGCAATTTTTAAAAATAATTTTTAAGACTGAAATATCACATACATAGGAGAAGTGCACAAACCATAAGCGTGCAGGTAATTTTTTCAAGTTTAAAAAACCCCTATGTAACTACCACCCAGATCAAGAGGTAGAACATTTGTAGCACCCTGGAAGAGTCTCAAGAAATCTCTAAAACATAACCAATTTCTGCAAAAATAACCATATTTTTACTTCTGTCACCATAATTAGTGTTGCCTCTCTTTAAATTTTATGAAAAGTGAATTGTAAGCATGTGTTATTTGCATCTGACTTTTTTTACTCCACATTGTTTGTAAGATCCCATGATGTTGCATGTAGCAGTAGTTCATTCGTTCTTAATGCTGTATAATATCTCTGTCCATTTGATAACTATACTACAATATAGCCATCCTATTGTTAATGGACATTTGGGTTGTTTGCTTTGAACATTTTGTGCATGTTTTAGTACACATGTGTATGAATTTATGTGGGTATAATATGGGATAGAATTTTTGGTTATTAAATATATACATGTTTAACTTTAGTAGATATTGCCAAACAATATTCCAAAATAGATGCACTAGTTGTTGAATTGTATGATAGTTCGAGTTGCTCCACTTCCTTACTCAGACTTTGTATTGTCAGGATTTATTTTTCATTTTTTCCTTTGTGGTAGATGTGATGTTTTATTTTGTATTTCCCTGATAGTTAATGAGGTTGAGCCTCTTCTCTTACTTTATTGTCACTTGAGCACCTTCTTTTATAAAATGCCTATTTAAGATTTTGATGATTTTATTTTCCCCTTAAATTGGGTTGTCTGTCTATTTCTAACCATTTATTTATTTTGGATTGAATCTTTTTTTCAGATAAAAGTTATGCAAATATTATCTCCCCCTGTGTAGTCTTAATTTGTGGTGTCTTTTGGTGAAGAAAAATTCTTAATTTTAATTAATATAACAGTATTTTCCTTTATGGGCAGTGTTTATGTTCTGTTTAAGAAATTTTTGTTTATCCCATGGTCATAAAAATGCATTTCTTATGAAGATGTCCTCTAGAGCCTTATTGTTTTAACTTCCACATTTGGAATTGATTGTTGTGAACCGTATGAGGGTAGGGGTCAAGATACACACGTATGGATATCCAGCATTATTTATTGAAAAACCTATAGTTTGCCTATTGCACTGCAGCAGCATCTTTGCCATTAATGATGAGTCAGACTATATTCATATGGATCTGTGTCTAAACTCTATTCAATTTTGTCTATTTGACTAATCTCATACTGTCTGATTACTATAGCTTTATAATAGATCTTATTATCTGGTAGGGTAAGTGTTCTAATTTTGTTCTCCTTCTCAAGATTGCATTGGTTATCCTTAGTTTTTTGTAGTTTTATGTAGGCATAGGATCAACTTTTAAATTTCTATAAAAAAAAGAGTTGACACTTTGATTAGGATTACATTCAATCTGTGGATCAGTTTGAGTACAATCACTTCCTTACAAATCCATGAACATAGTATGTTTTGTGTATAAAAAATGATTGATTTCTGAGTTTTAACCTTGTATCTAGTAACCTTGATGCATTTTCTTTCCAGATTTTTTGTCCCTCAAGTCCTGGTGGCTACTTTGACTGCCCTTCAGTATCTTTGAACAAAAATCTTTTTTTTTCAGTATAGTTTATCTAGCTATATTCTCAGTGAGATATTAAAGATCCTTTGTCTCAGCTGAAAACTTACAGTTATTATTATTTTCTTTTAATGAAAGGAAAAATAGGAGTAATTGAATAGCTAAAAAGTTGACATTGTATTAGGAGAGCCAATTTGCTATTGATCATCACTTATTTAACAATTTATGTAATTTTTCCCATATGATATCCTGATATAGGAGTAAAGATTAAGGTTATGTTTAAGATTTAATTGTCACTTTTTAATGTAAAAACCACTTAAATTTTTTTTGGTTATATTTTTAGGTGTCCCAAATATTTACTTTATTTGAGCGACCAAGAGACTGTATAGAAAAACTTTCTGTAAATATTTTCTTTTGAAACTACTCTAGCATAGATAGAGGATTATATTTCAGCTCTTTAAGACTGAATTAAATTTGTGAGAAAGCTCACTAGGCCACTTACATAAACTTTGCTCTGGGAAATTACAAAGTAGGAAGTATTTTATACTGGCTAATAAAAAAAGAATAGAAATATTTTTTAAAAGGTATAGTTTGTTGTGACTGTTAATGCTGTAGCATGCCATAGTTTCCTAAAATTTGAAACTGAAAACAATTTTTGTTATCTAGTAGAAACCTCTTATTATTTAGATGAGCAAAGTACGACTTAGAAATATTTAGACCATTGAATATTTTGCCACTATATACTTCCCTGATGTCATCTATACCTATTGGATTTGAAGTTAATGCTGTATTTCCTTATACTTGTGACCCTCATTTCTTGTATGGACACACACACACACACACACACACACACACACACACACACACACACACACACACACACTCACTCTGATTCCTAGTAATGCGATTAAAGGGAGAAATAATACTTAAAATATTAGCTAAAATGGTTTGAGTATGTATTATTTGTTATTAACTTTCTAAAGTGCCTTGTGTTATTTGACTATTTTTGCTACCTTCTGTGATGCATTTTCTTTTTTTTAAATTTATCTTTATTGTAAGTATTACAGATGTCCCCTCCCCACCTTCCATTTACTCTCTCCCCCCTACTCCCTCCCCTCCCTAAGCTTTCATCTCACTATTGTCCCTGTCTGTGGGTTATGCATATAAGTTCTTTGGTTACTTGACTTATTTAATTCTCTGAACATTTTCTGGTAGGTACTATAATTATCCCCATTATAGATGAGGAAACTAAGATATAAGTAGATTAACTTGCTGAAGACACTGTATTTTGGTGAAGCCAAGATAAAAGTGGATAATATAGTTGAAAATTGTTTATCTTTAATGTAAACATAAGGATTCAGAAATAATCATCTGTTTTGCTCTTTTAAAAATTTATTGTATCACAATGACATTGTAATAACTTATTCTTGCTTTACTAATAGTCACTGTTGTATTTTCCAGGTAAAATTTTGCATTTGCAATGGAGAAATACTAGCTAAAACTTACACCATTATCTGCCAGTCATGTTTCTAATCATTTTCCTTAGAACTCCATTAGCTGTAACACAGAGAGACACAGAGACAGTATATAGTATGCTCAAAGCCACATGTTAAGTGTTAGAGAATTCAAACCCATGCCATCTGGATCCAGGTTCTTTGCTGCTCTTAACCACTCTGCTCATGTGCTACTTACTCTTTAGTACTACTTTAAATTTTTTTTCTGCCACACTGAATCAAAATGGCTTTTAATACCTGTGTGTGTGTGTCTGTGTGTGTCTGTCTCTGTGTGTGTGGGTGTGTAAGTCGGAAACAACAAAATTAGCATCTTTCAATTAAAAGAGAACACATTCCCTATTGAATTCTCTGTTTATTTCTAAAAACACTGTGTTTTAATATTTGTTTACAAGGTCTGGTATAATATCTTTCTTTTCTTGTGATTTATAGAAGAGTTCTTATAAAAATGGATTTATGTACTGGAAATTCGAATCATTTGTCAGAAAGACCTATTCGTTTGAGCAGTTGACTTGACGCTCTTTGTGTTTTCTCTATTTAGTGTTGTGTTACCTACTGATAGAGAAAAGTCAATTTTTAAAACAAATGACCTGCTGTTCTTGAAGTTTCTTTCTTCTCCCCTCTAGGAACTCAAACTGAGAGGAGGTGGAGACCAGGAGACAGCATGTGCTTGTCACATATGAAAGTTATTAATGACTGACAAAGCTAGTTGCCCCAGCCTCCTGGGACATTTTGCTCAAACATGTATTTTGTTTTTGGCACCCCAGTCTCTCGTCTCTCTTTCAGCTGTGAATCATTCCATGCCCTGACCATTGAGCGTTTAGAAATTCTACAGATATGCAAGGAACTCTCCAGAGACACACATTTGTACATCTAAACAGCTCTTCTTCTAACTGCTTAGGCGTGCAAGTTTCCTCTTAGTTTAATTTGGGACTTGATGAAAGTAAAGGAGTCCTGAGTATTTCCCCCAGCTTTTGAGTTGTGTAAAATCTGAGCTACATGCTCATTTTTACGTGGAAGCTTATCTTCAATATTTATTAGTAACTTTTCATTTTAGTGCAAAAGTAATTTTAAGGGCCCAGCCAGTGTGGCTAAGTGGTTGAGCATTAACCCATGAACCTGGCAGTCACGGTTTGATCTCCCCTGTCAGGGCACATGCCCTGGTTGTGGGCTCGACCCCCCAGTAGGGGGCGTGCAGGAGGCAGCTGATCAGTTATTCTCTTGAATCATTGATGTTTCTATCTCTCTCTCCCTCTCCCTTCCTCTCTCTCAAGTCAGTAAAACTATATATATCTTTTTAAAAAGTAATTTTAAGGTAACTATGAATAATTGAAGTGTAATTTTTTTTACTAGATACAGTTTGGGACATTATCAAATTATTTTGATGCAGTGGATAAGGAAATTGGAGCCAGTAGAACAAATAGCCAGCCACTGTTCCCTGTTCTAAGTGGAGATTTTTTCACTTACGCCGACCGAGACGATCATTACTGGAGTGGCTACTTTACATCCAGACCTTTTTACAAACGAATGGATAGAATATTGGAATCCCATTTAAGGTACATTTACCTTTAGTTAGCTGCCTTTAGTTATTCACTTCTTTTATGTTCTCTACTTTTTTGTAGAGTTTTTTGTAATATAAACACTTATGGAGTGTTAGGATGTGTTTAATGTATTTATGAAATTTTAATGAAATCAGAACTATGTCTCCAAAGCATAATCAAATTATTACATTTTGTTCTGGAAGGAAAAGCAGTTTATGTAATTAGTTTTTCTGGGAGTTGTATTCTGTGTTTTATATTTTTCTAATTAATTAACTATTATTGGCACACCATGATAATATTCATTGACATTGTCATGCTCTCTGCAGGTCAGTAATATGGCTAAATTATTGGAAATGGGCAGGGGTCAGAAGGAGCAAATATTGCCTCTCAGTAGCCAAAATGTGGACATAAACATTAATACTCTAAAAACAAATGTATTTTATAGGTGGGAGAACTTTAGAAGCTTCATCTCAATTCTTATTTTATTTGAAACATTTTTATAGGTATAATTTTCTGCTTAGAAGAACAAAACTTGTAAGAGATGAGAACTGATGGAGGCAGAGTGAAACAAATAAACTGACATGAAGTCAGAAGCGTCAATAGAAAACATGCAAACACTCTATACCCACATTGAATTTTCTGCAATGATAGAAATATTCTATTTCTGCACTGTTTAATGTGGTAGCCACTAGCCACATGTTTGTTGAGCACTTGAAATGTGACCAGTGTGACTGAGGAACTGAACTCCTAATTTTATTTTATTTTAATTAATTCAAATGTAAGTAGCCACATGTAGCTAGTGGCTATGACAGTGAGAGTACAGTTTTAAGTAACTGAGTCTCGTTTTTGATAAAGATAAATCACCCTGGGGATTCATATGTATGTGTAGCCCAGGAGAGTAATTAATTTTCATTATGAATTCATTTTCAGTTTAGTTCAAATCATGAATTCATAATGATTAATTTTCATGACGAATCTCAGTATTAAAAGTAAAGAGCTGTGTCATACCTATACTCTTCAATAAATTAGTGGAAACTAAGTACATTTTGGAAAGCCTTTTTATAAAAACAAAATTTCTTAAAGATTTGTACTTTGGTATAATAGTGTGTGTTTTTATTATTTTACTGTTGTGCTGCTGTTACCATTATTACAAAAGCCTAACCTTTTGTGACTGTGTTTTTGGATATTCACAAATGTGCCAGATGAATACATTATTATTGTATTTGTAATAAAATAGTACATACTATAGAGATTTATGCATTTTACCAACTGGAATGTTAGTAATCTGTTATGTTATTCTGAACTACCGGTGATGATAACAGAGCCAGTATTAAATGATGTAGAGATTCTTTTGGACCATGAATTATTCTTAAGTGTCAAGTGTTTTTTAGTGGCAGAGAGTTAGGAATGTTGGTTCAATCTTAACCTATTGAACATATGTAACATGAAGTACTTACTATGGGTAGTGTACTTGGAAAATTCTGCTGCTTTAAAATAAACAACAAAAAATATAATTGTGAATTTCATAATGTAATTAATTTATTTGAAAATAAGTTTATTGTCTGATAATAGTGATAGTTCATCCTAATGCTCATTTTTAAAAAATTGGATAAAATAGAAAAGTATATAGAATAAATATTCTTAAAGTCTACTTTCTTACATATATGCGTACATACTCTTTTCAAAACCAGGGATATTTGCTGAGGATATGTATGAATATATATACGCAATTTCTTTATTAATTTAAATTTAGTGATTCTTATGCTGTAAATTTCAGAAGGGTTAGAATTTGAAAGTGGAGATTATTTGGTATATTTTCATTATTTCAACAATTTAAAGGAATTTATTTTTAAAAACACTGCAAATTTCTCCTTTTTCCTGATATCTTAATACCTTTGCAAGCTACCTTGATTTTCTCTCCATCGTCCTTAACATGTTTTGCATAAAGAACCTTCTTATATTCTTACTCCATCAAGCCATGGCTCTTTTCAAAGAACTTTTAAACCTATCTTGAATCATATCCTCTGACGGAAAATAAGTAAAAGCTGAAAATCATATCCCCCCATATTTTAGCTCAAAAGCTATGCTTAAGCTAAAGTGTTTTATTCTTTAAAATAAATGAGAAAAGACCGCATATGTTTTATCATCTTTCATTTTTTATTGTGAAATTCTCTATAGTTGTATGTTATTATTCAACACTTAGACTAGCTCTTGTCACTGAGCTATCAAGCCATCAATTTCTGTTTCTCCTTTACTGTTTGTCTCCCACTCCTGTGACCACGCATTTCCCCACCACCTCTCCTCTTACTGTACAACCGTGAGAGTAAATGGCTTTCTGGTGATGAAGTTCATGGCATATGTCTTCACTGCTCTTGGAGAAAGAAAGGAAAGAAACATTTATCACGTTCTTACTGCTGTGTTGAGATGTTTTTTTCTAAGTTATACATAAATAAGCCTATCTTGCTGCCAGCGGGTACTGGCTTCTTTCCAGAACCATCTAGAATGAGAGCCCTTTGTATCAACATAGAAATGATGTTCTTTGATGATTGAGAATTTAGATCTATTAGATAGATACCTTGGTGGTAAAATAGAAATGTTTATTATCAATATCTTTCTTACAGATTATTTGTACTGAAATTGTGGATTTTTAAAAACCACATTTGAAAATGTGTCAATGCCACATATTTTAGATAGCAAACTAAAATGATTGTTTTGAAATATAAATTAATGACTATTTTATGCAATTAGGGCTGCGGAAATTCTTTACTATTTCGCCCTGAAACAAGCTCAGAAATACAAGATAAGTGCATTTCCTTCATCATCCTCTTACATGGCTCTTACAGACGCCAGAAGGAGTTTGGGACTGTTTCAACATCATGATGCTATCACAGGAACTGCAAAAGATGCGGTGGTTTTGGATTATGGTATCAGGTAACATAATTTTTGAAAAGTAATCTTTTTTTAAAAAATATATATCTTTATTGATTTCAGAGAGAGAGAAGCATCAGTGACAAGAGTCATTGATCGGTTGCCTCCTGCACGCCCCCTACTGGGGATCTAACCTGAAACCCAGTCATGTGCCCTGACCGGGAATTGGACCTCGATCTCCTGATCATAGGTCAATGCTCAACCCCTGAGCCATTCCGGATGGGCTTAAAAGTAATCTTAAAACAAAATCGTTAAATATTTGGGGTCATAAGCATATCTTTTGATGTTGTTAATGTATATCATACCACATTAATAATAATAACCCTTGTAAGTATTTCTGTAGAAAAACACCACCAATTTTCAAAGCATTTTTCAAGAAGGCTGTTCACAAACTACTAGCTATCTCAACTTTTTATTGCAGCACATTTCTACACATCGAGTAGTAAAACATTATAAAACGGATCCCGTTTTCTCCTTATTTCCTGACTAAGGATTTGGTATCAAAATCATAGTTATAACCCAGGGGGATAAAGAGCTTCACTTCATTCTGTAGAAATTTTATTTCATCCTATTTTCTATCCAGTTGTTCTTGGATACCTTATTTTTTTAGAGGTATATTGATGAAAAAGAATAAGCCTAGAAGCATAACCAGCAAGTAGAATGACCTAGAAACCTTGTCATATATGGATGATATGAGGAACTGGGATGAGAAGGGATGGCCTGGGTGTTCATATCAAAGCCATCTTCAGTGTTTTGCAGGTCTGTTAGATGACTGAGGAAGGAGAATCTCAGTTATTTTCATATTGTGGAATTAGAAATGAGTATAGGCTTTGACTCAGAAGAGCAGAGGATTTCTGTAAACAGTGCTTCCACAGCTGATATTAACCAACTGTAATAAGTGTTAATTAAATTTTGTTAACAGTATTTTGACTAGAAATTTGGGGGGAAATATTCTTGAGGTTCATTAGTTGACTTGAGTCCTAAAAATATATATATTCAAGGTAGTATCTTGAATACCTTCTTGATTTTCTTGTGGCATATGTATTTGGCATCAATCTATTGAGATTTAAGCTGAACTTAAAATGGGAAACACTCACTGGATGATGATGATGCTGGTGTTTCTCCCACAGGAAGCAATTTTTTTTTTTGACATCAAGGATTTTTGAAAGTAAGGGCAGATCTTCCATTTTTTCCTTTCACTTGTTCCTGTTTTCTTGGTTTATTGAGAGTTTAAACTTGAGGCCACTTAGAATCAGACCAGAGTTTCTAAGAGGAAAAAGAGAAGTCACTCTTCTGCACTGCCTCCTTGCTCTGTCTCTGGCTGCCATATTGAAAGAGATTCGGGCACAGGCCATCGAGTTTTTGCTACAGAACATTTTTTGTCCCCTCACCTTTCCAGAAGGCCTGTCATTATATCTTCCATGTGCTTGGTATTACTTTTAGCTTATAAAAACATCCCTGTACAAAATTGCATCTCAGAGAGAAAAAACACAACAATAATTCTTAAATTGTACTTGACATTTGTGAATTTGCATTGTGAGCAGTTCACCCTTCATGGAACAGTCATAAACAATTATCAAGTCATTATCACAGACATTTTAAGTTGGAAATTTCAAAACACAAGTAAGAGAATTATAAACAGAGAGAGGCAGCTAGCCTTGGGTGTCCTCTTGTTCTTGGACTGTTGATTAATTTTTATTTAACTGTTGCAGACATGTCCTTGTGAACAAGTATATGAGTTAGGGATGGCATTTGGCTGCTAATAATAGCAACTCAGAACAGAATAAATTCTATGTTACTTATTTTTATGTCATAAGGAAGAAGTCCCAGGTTCAGGTATGGCAGCTCCTTCTAGCTTTCTCTTCTGCCATCTCAGGGTGATGTTTAAGAGTCATGCTCTCAATAGTAGATTGAATATTTATATCGGAGAGCAAGATACATCATGCCATATTTGGAGGTTAATTCTAATTGTGGCATAAGAAATGAATTAGACTGGGACAATGTAAAAGATGTTCAGCTTAAAAGTGGATATGGGGCTATGTGGAAGAGAAGAAGAAATGGTAATGAGGTCAGTTACAGAAAGATTTAGAATTTGCCAACTTGTGATTAAGGTAGGTAGGAGAAAAAATGAACAAATGGGTAAGTGTGAGGTTCCTAACATATAGATCAAACTTGGAATGACAAACAAGATGACATCTCCTTGAAATGGCAGCAATGATAACAGACTAGGAAACTGTGATATCCCATGAACTCTTCCATAATAATAGGATAAGGGCATGTTAGGAAATTCGAGGCTCTGAGAAATCCCACATTAATGTATGGGGAATTCTGTGCTAGTCTTTAGTGCTCATTTCATTAGAAGACTGCATGTTTTTAGGTCTTGGTCACTGAATAATGCTGCAATGAACATAGGGGCACATATATCTTTGCAAATAAATGTTTCTGAGTTTTTCGGGTAGATACCCAGAAGAGAGGTTGCTGTGTCACACGGTAACTCCATTATTAACTTTTTGAGGAACCTCCATACTGGTTTCTATAGAGGCTGTACCAGTTTGCATTCCCATCAACAGTGAATGAGAGTTCCTTTTTTTCCACAACCTCCAACACTTGTTATTGCCTGTCCTGTTGATAAAAGCCATTTTAACAGGTGCAAGGTGGTATCTCATTGTAGTTTTGATTCGCATGGTGGGCACACACAGTGCAGTAGATGGATGATGTATCAGAGAAATGTACACTTGAAATCTATATAATTTTATTAACTAGTGTCACCCCAATAAATTTAATTAAAAAGAAAAAATTAAAATAAAATAAAAAGGCTGCATGTGTGCCTTTAGTGTATGAACATTGATTCTTGGCATTCACTCACTTTAATTAGGACACTTCAATGCACTGTAATACATATCAGGTTTTAGCTGATGGAGATCATGACTTTTATTCTGCAGGTTCAGACGGCCTAATAAAGATAGCCATATCAGTAATAAAAATAAACTTAGATCAAGGGACTTGTTTCCATAACTGAATTGTATTCATTCATGGACCTTTTCGTCTGGTGAGAACACTTGTTACCATCTAGGTAACATTTGAATAGAATGAGAAATTGAATTACATGATGGTCTGAAGTCAAATCCATAAGGTTTTAATACTACAGTTATAGATTTACTGTGTAAATGTATTTAGTTAATAACTTTTTTATCATGATCACTTACATCTTTGAAGATGATCTTAGTGCTCTGCAGAAATAAATTATTTCTAATTATTTTATAATTTTTTTATTGTTGTATGCCAACAAGAATATATTTAACTCATAGATCCAGAATAGCTTCCTGTGTTTGAGAAGCTGATATAATCACTGTATAAACATAATACAGTAGATTGGTTCTGATGGTTGATTGAAAACATGATTAGCAAAGTTTCTGTACAGATTTCTCCAGTATGAGTTTACTTAGGGATGCCTGCTCTATAAGGCTTTAAAGCAATAAAGCTAAACTTGAAACTTCAAGCAAGTTTTGCCCCCATGTGTAGTGCTTCAGCAATAGCTGGTATAATCTGGAGTTGATTTTGAATCAATTGATTCATAAGCTCTCTTTGGTTCCTCAGACATAAAAGGACAGTTAATACATAAATACCGTTAAAGCAGTTAACAACTTCATAAGTAATAAGGACAAAAATAATTTTATTTTCTAGGTCTGTGAAAAATTTTCTTTTTTTCCTAGTTCTTTTGAACAAGAACATGAAACTAAATTTAACAAAATACCTATTCGAATCCTTCAGGAATTTAAGCTCTTTGAAGTATATATGCTGATTGAATTTTTTTGTGAACGAGGGTTAATCTCATGGCTTTTTTTTTGCCATTTCAATGCTTGTGAAAGATTTTCCTAAAGTGAAACATCAAGTCATTGCTTCAAAAGACATTGGGGTGATCATGCTGTATATTCTTATTACCTGGTATGATAGTCATAGAAAGTATAAGTAATTTGAATAAGTGTATGTGTTTCAAGTATGTCCAGGAAGTTTTCTATTTTAAATGAATTCTTACCAGTGTTATTGTTTGATTAACTATTTTTTCCTAAGTACTTAGTTGGGGGCAAAAAAGAGCTAATTCATTATAGGTTCTTCTGAGTTTCATTTTGTGAATATAGGATGAAGGTAATGGTGGTTTGACCGGTATTAAAGAAATTGAAAATATTGTATACTGACTGTTAAATTATTTCTCAGACTAATAAAATTTTTGTTTCACAGACTCTATAATTCATTAATGAATTTGAAGGAGATAATTGGATCTTCTGCACTACTTCTTATTTTGAAGGACAAACAGTCATACAAATCTTCCTCTTTTGATACCCTCCTAGAAATGGTTAGTTGATATCTCTTATATTCATTATAAAAATGTGAGTCTTTTGTTCTTAGGTTGGAAAAAGGGGGTGAGAAACTTAATAAAATACATTGAAAAATAATTATTTTTTTGTACATTATTTAAAATAATTTGCATTACTTTATATAAATTATCTGTGTGTGTTCGCCTTTCCTATAAGTGTGTCTATATTTGATTCATGGTGTGTATTTTGTTTTGAGTAAATTTAAGCATGAAAATAAAATAATGAGCTTATTTCAAGGTATGTGAAATATATATGGCTTTAGAACACTACTAAGATGATATTGTAAGGTTACTAGACATTACAAATAGCTGTTTTGCTGGGCATTAATTAAAAGCCCCTTAATATTTGAACTTATATATATCCTTAATCTGTTCTTGCTAAACTTCAATCTGAATACTCCTAACTTGTCTTCTGGTTTCAGGATGAGTCCATGAGTGCTACTGGTGATACTAAGATATGTGCAACAGTAGAGCTGTAATTGAGGATTTAGGAGACTAGCTGTTAGCCTCAACCTCTGCACCTGATTTGCATGGGCCTTGAAAAAGTTATTAACATCTGTGAGGCCTCCTTCATTTATCTGTAAAATGGGATGATGATATCTACCTTGCCTGGTGGTATTATTAGGATCAGATGAGTTAATAAAACAGAACATACTCTGAAAGGAAGAACATACTCTTCTGCAGCAAGAAAGAATAGTTGGAGAAATGTTTGATTGCAACCCTCTTTACACTTCCACTTGGGTACTCAGATATTTTAAAGTTTAATTTATGTGTCATTAGAATCTGTTGGGAATGATAGACTTTGACATTTTATATGTAATTTAAATTTACGCTTGTGGAATCTGAGATTTTCATATACTGATGCTTATAATCAAATCATGATTATACATTTTCATATTAAAGTAAAAAAAAGCAGTAAATGGACATACATTTCTTAAGAATGTGAAAAATGTTATTAAAGTAAAGTAGTAAAACTTTTCCCAAAATTATCTCTAGAACTAGATTTATTTGGTTCCTGATTGGCGCTACCCATGTGGACTCTAGCCCTTCTAATAGACACTGTACTTGACATCTAAATATATACATACATGTACATGCATACAAACAAGAATCATTTATTTTGAACTTTGATGGGCATTATGTAGCTGGAAAGAGTATTTTTTTTCTATTTTGCAATCGTCAAGATTTTTGCAAGGCGATATTACATAGATAATTTTGAGACTTGTTTTAAAAGGAAAATAAACATTTTTGTTCATTTTTATAGGATTTGAAACAAAAATCACAAGGTTCTCTACCACAAAGAGATACAATACAGCTGAGTGCAGAGCCAAGGTAAATACATTTCTCATATACATTTATTGCTTTTCTGGTTTGACTTTCTGGTTTCATGATTCTGTTCTCTAGTGAGCATATATTTTGAGGTAGTATTTCAAGTAATCAATTTTAAAATATTTTCTGTAGAAGCAGATTTTCTCTCATGATTGTGTCATGTTCAGTGCTAATAGTTAACACATATTTGGTATGGGATGGTAAATATATAGCTTTATGATAAAAATTACCTTATCCTTGTAACACTGATTATTTTTACGTTCTTTCTTGATTAACTTTTTGTTTACTTTATTTTGATTACCCGCCTTTTTTTTTTAATGAAGAAAGAAACTTAATTAGTTGACCTGAAAATGGGGTGTTCAATTGCTGGCTGCCTCTGATTTACAAAGAAATGCTTTATGTTTTTGTTGGCAATTATTTAACCAAGTCATCTGTTTTTAATTACTACATATCCATTGGTCAGTACCCAGTATACCCAGATAATGCAGTGTATTTTTATAATATAACTTTTTACTATTTAAATTGAGAGATTTAATATCACTGCTTACAAATTATAAGATAAAAGAGTAATTGTAAAGACTAATTCATGATTTTAACTAGGTATACTTTATTAAAATTATTAAAAAATAAGTGGAATCAAAGTATTACAGAAAATTTACAGTTGCTAGTAAAGTTGAGATTTCAGTTCAGAGTAGACTAAAGCCTTAGCTGACTCTTCAGTAAGTAGAGACTTACAGATATACAGCTCATACCTTAAAATAAGAAGGTGAGTATTTGTTAGTAATACTAAAGTATCACAAAAGTAATACTGAAGAAATCCTACATTTTTTTCATTTGGGCCAGAAAAAGAAGGGATTAACTTATAAGTTTTAGGCTTAAATTTGAAGTCTTGCTGAAGTCTTAAAAGTTTTCAGTTTGCCAAGCCATAGTTAGGATGAAAACAAATGATACTGAATGAAAAATCAGTTATAAAATTACAAAATGTTTTGTCTTAAAATAAGTAATGTCTTGATGCATTTGGGGTTGTATGGCTCTTCCTTTTTTATTATGTCCCTAATAAACTGGTGCCATCAAATCTATTCAGTTTTAGGCATAATCCTCTTATCTATTAACTTTTTTCCCTTTCTCTATTTTGGTGGGGAAAGATCTCTGTTTTTGCTGACTGTAAGAATGACTTACAAGCTTGCTATAAGTAATTTACGCGCCATCCCCACCCACTAGTCTTCCTGTAGGTGCGTGGTTGGGTGGATGAGATGCGGTGGGATGAGACCAAAATGGGTCAGAGGAAGAGATATACTCGGTGGTTTCTTTTTTTCTTGTACTGTGCTTGCCTTAGCCAGCAGTGAGTGAGAACTGAGGCTTAGGCTAGAGGACGAAAGTTAGGAGATATGGGTGTATTAATTAAGAAGAAATATGTTTTTGAGTTTTAATTACAGATGAAGGTAAATGGAATTTTTCAGAATATTAGTAAAATGATCACCTTTTGATGTTTCTTTTTAAACAGTTTATATATTTAAATTATGTTCTTCATCTTAATATTATTTCTTCACAGTTCTTTTCTATCAAATGTCAACGTTACTATTTCCATAGCTGGGTAAATTGGGAATATTTATGATTATCAGATTCTTATTTTTATATTTATTATCTATTTTGTACTTTAGAGCCTCATGAATAGAACTGGAACTAATAGTTTTAGCTTTAAAATCTATGCTTTACTTGTTAGCCACAAATTACCTGATTTACTGGTCTCAGTAAATCAGTGAAGAGTGGAGGAATGTTGTTCATCTTTAAAATGGAAAAAGTTGAGTTTTATTTAGTAGGTACTGAAAGTTAAATAATTGTCTCTACTCTTCAGTCTTCAAAGTGGAAAGTTTCAGAAGTGTGGCCATGAGGATTTTTTCAGTTTCTTCATGAATCTTCTATGATGCTCTAAGGCTTAGCATTATTTTGGTTATAAGTATAATTCTTATTTGAGCAACAAATTATTAATCTAAATAAAACATGCATTCTCAGTTGGAAGATGTCCTTTCCAGGAGGGGTTCTTTGGGGTTTTGAGAAAAACTTACTCTTTTTAATATATAATAATGCACAGGTACAGTATATAATAGTACTTAAGAGACATACATTTTATGTGTAGTATTAGAATTGTATGAGGATGATTAGGAAAAATGTCTGAAAAGTGTCTTTAAGGAAGTTATAATGGGAAAAGATTGAGAAACACTGATCTAAACCCATGTGATTTAAATAATACATGTAAATTAATTTGATTGTGTTATTGGCATAGTTAGTTGTAGCCATCACCTAACATAGTTCAGTTTGTGAATATTTAAAAAGTAGCCCATAATCTACTGATTTATAGTGATGTCGGACACTAATTTAATTCGTAGTCTTTGTATAGAAGCAGATATAATTAAGAGTTAAAGGTAACATAAAAGTTAAGTCATAAATTGTCTAGCCTTAAATAATCCTTAAATTTACAAAGATATTCTTTTTCTCTGTACATCGTTCCTAGGGAAACCATTTGTAAAAAAACTTGATACACAGACTTACAGAATTAGGGACGTAGAGGACACTGAAGTCTGTGACAGGTGACAAGATTTTAGTTTTCAGTATTCCATCTGTTCACGCAGGGCGGGAATAAATGTTGCTACCACAGCACAAGCAGGGAAGCCACATGGTTTGATAAGGTGTTAAGAAACTTAAAAAAAAAAAATTCCTTAAACTTTAAAAGGATAATTTGAAATGTCACCAGGTAGATAATCAAAATTACACTGAGATAACTTCTGTAAATCTGAAAGTTTACTTTTTCAAGGAGAAACGTTTTTAGTTCAAGAGTAATTGATTCAAACCACTATTACAAATTTACCTTTAAGTGCTTTTAATTTTTAGTAAGGTAATTATTGGTAAGGAATCCTTACATCTCTTTCTTTTGACCAGAAAAATAAAAGAAACCATTAACTATGTGTAGACACAAAGGAAATCAGTCCTTTGTAGGCTGGGGTGACTTCAGAAAATCAACTGGATATAAAAAGTTCTTTATTCCAGAAAACGGTATTCCCGTTGCCATTTATTTATTGACTGCTTCTCCATGGGTGATCTCCCGGCACCCCTAATTTAATTTCCAGGTGTGTGTTTTTTTCCACTTATGCTTTTCTTTTTCTTTTTTAATATGTTTTTATTGATTTTAGAGAGAGAGGAAAGGAGAGGGAGAAACCTCTCCTACTGGGGACTGAGCCCGCAAGCCGGGCATGTGCCCTGACCGGGAAGCCAATTGGCAGCCCTCGGTGCATGGGATGACGCTCAACCAGCTGGGCCGCGCTGGCCAGGGCTGTGCTTCTCTTTTATATCCCAGTCTTCATAAATAGCGTCATTTCTTTTTCATTGTCTAGGTTCTAAAATCCCAGAACCCACTTTGACTTCTGCCTTTTCTTATCCCTTACATTTCATCGACTGGAGAGTCTTTGGGATTTTACCTTTAACCATCCCTGATCCCCATTGTCCCCTCTCTTTCGAGTACCTTCTGGTTTTAGCCACCCTTCATGTTTTGCCTGGACTACTGCAATGGCTTCTGATCCTTTTGTCTTCCATTTCTCTGTCCTCCGAAATCATCCCATGTAGTTATTAGAGGAACCTGCCGAAGCAGAACTGAGAAAGTTACCTGGGTGGAAATAGCAGTTCTTGTTAGCACCTAGCCTCAGAAATTCTGGAATGTCATTCTTAGTCAAGCAAGTCACGAAGGTCAGCCAGATTCCGGGGGCAGGACCTTATTCTCCATTACTTGATGTGAAGAGCACATGCAGGAAGCAAAGGAAATCATAGCAGTTCATTTTGGAGACTACCTGCTATAGTTCACCCAGTGGCCGTCACAATTCACATACTTCTCGTGTGCAAAATAAAATAAACTCACCCATCTCCCAAAATGCCCAAAGTTTCATCCCAAAATTTTCTTTTAAATCAGGTTCAACATGGCTCACTCATATGGCTGGGAATTGATTTTGGTTTATTTCTGCCAGTATAATTATTTGAAGTTAATCTCGCCAGGTTATAAACTCCTTGAGGATAGGAACTATTTCTTTTATTTATTTCCAGCATTATGCCTATGGTATTATATTCAACATAGTAACAATTAGATAAAGATTTATTGAAATACAGTTAATTATTGATTAAAGAGAATACTAAACTTCAGACACCAGGAATGCATAGAACATGGTTCACATTCTATCTGAAAATGTGACATTGTGGTATATATACTCCCCAGAAAATATAGTATCGTGGTATATATTCTTTCATGTAATATTTGGAGGTTGGATGCCAGAAGGCTTCCTAATACACTAAATGCTACTACAAATAATAGTCAGTTAAATATTAATTCAATAGAGCGTTGAATTTCCTTAGCTTTTGGACAACTGCTCATTTGACATTTTAGAGTTTCACACCTTGAGACCTGAAATACTTGAGATCGCCTCACAGCATCATAGCATTCTTAGAAGATTAACTTTGTTGGGATTACATTCTTTTTTTTCTTTTTAAAAAAAAATATATCTTTATTGATTCAGGGAGAGAGAGAGAGAAACATCTGTGATGAGAGAGTAATTGATCAGCTGCCTCCTGCACACAACCCGGGCCTGTGCCCTGGCTGGTAATCGAACCGTGACCTCCTGGGTCATAGGTTGATGCTCAACCACGGAGCTGCCCCGGCCCGGCAAGATCACATTGTTGGGGCCTCTTCAAAATGAGTGAGTTCAAAAGATAATCCCAAATATCCCAATGAGTTGAACCACTGGTTGGAACTGGTTTTGGAACAATCATGTATGAGTAGCAACATAAAATTAATCATATCTAGTATTTTCCATTCTAAATCAATCATGCAGACTTGCATTTTGCCTGATTTTTAGGCAAATATAAAGGTCTTTGGGAAGGGTTTATATTAGTGGCTCCACCTTTCCCACAATATTCTCCCCACCCTAACATTTCTTTTTATTTTGTGATATTAGGAATGATGA